AAAACAATTATGTGGCGAAGATTTATTTTGTAAAATTCAAGAATCGAAACGAATACAAAAAGGTGAATACTAAAAAATTATAAATTTCATTCAGTTCTTTTTTTTCTGTTTTGATAGAGCAGGCCAAATCAACAGAAAGAACAGGTTCAAATAGTGTGACACGAACTAATAAACTAACAAATAGTGGCAAATTATTGATACCTGATGAAAGTACTTTATCAAGACTCGTCGCTGCACGATTAGACTTACCGATATCACAACGTTTATTGGATCTAAATTTTCAATTATCTATTATAAAACGATGTTGGGAAGATCAGTTACGAATAAAACGTATGTTAATCGATAAACTATTACCTTTTTTTATGTTTTCTTTGTTGAATATTTTATTTAGGTGATGATTTTGTATCTGACACTGATGTGTATGTTGCTTGTTTAATTCTTCGAAAACAAATCGACTACATCGGTGGTAAAAAAGAAAACATTATTATTCCTAGTATCAAAATGAAACAAATTCGAGAACAAAGCGGTGAAATTATTTTTGATAGATCTTCCATTTCTATCTTTCTTCTTTTTTGTAGAGGTGAAAGCGAATAAATCAATACCAAATGTAACTCATACTGTTCAATCAATAGCAGACAATGATACAGATGTTGAAATGACAACATCTTCTCAGTCTTCGAATAAACCAAAAAGTAATGATGATGAATGGAAAATGGAAAAAATTACTATCGATGATCGAAGTCAATCAACTAATTCAACACTATCAAATCTATGTGCTCTTTGTTTGACAGAAGAAAAACAATTAGCTTGTATACCATGTGGTCATATGGTTACATGCGTTGCATGTGGTCATTCGTTACGTTTGTGTCCAATATGTCGACGAGAAATCAATGCATTCGCTAGAATTTATATTTAAAAAAAACTTATTGTCATGTACTTATATTCATTCTTGAAATTTTTCTTCGTAGTTTAGTTTTAATTCTCTTTCTTCGTAATTTCTACTTAAGATGTGTATATCCATGTGAGTATCGATCGTCTCTTCATGTAAATCGACATTCATACTCTCCGAAAATTGCTGTAATTTAGGGATGTAGAAGGGTATGGGTGTGGGTGTGGTGGGTGTGGGTGGGTGTGGGGTGTGGGTGTGAGTGTGGGTATGGGTGTGGGGTGTGGGTGTGGGTGTGGAGTGTGAGTGGGTGCGGGTGTGGGTGTACAATCAAAGAAGATAAACTCTCACACCCACACCCACCCACCACCCACATCCACCCATACCTACACCCTACAACCACCCACACCCCACACCCACCCCCCACACTCACACCCACACCCCACACTCACATCCACACCCAAATTATAATTTCGTCTGATATATTCTCAGTCTAATTGAAATTTTAATTTTGACTAGGCAAAATTAAAATGTTTTCTTTTGTAACGAAAAGAAGATCAAAAAGAGAAACAAATAAAGTATACGTAATTTTTATTTTACAATAAACTTCTATATGTATTAGCTGAACTGTAAATTAATTTATTCCATGTTTAAACATCTGGCTCTCTTTGAATGACATTTGGTAGAACGGAAAACGTTTTCTTTTTTGCATGAACATGTTTTCGTTCCACACTTGCCTCGACAATTGCATGTACGACCAGTTGTAGAACCACGTGACTAAAGTTTCGAAGCTTTAATAATGGTAATTGGTTTTAAATTAGCAACATCCAAGTTTTTTAATTCAGTTAGACGAGCATCTTTTAAATCCAAGAATTGTGAAGCTTCAAATGTGTTAGTCAAAACTCCATATTGACAAATTGATGTAAGTGAGAAGTCATTCTGACTTACTTTTCTTACTTGTATAGATAACTCTAGTTCAGAGAACAGAAAAAGAAAAAAAATCAACGAACAGATAAACACTGTATCTTCTTTTCGTTACAAAAGAAAACATTTTAATTTTGCCTAGTCAAAATTGAAATTTCAATTTTGGCTGGGCAAATTTCGAATTTGACTGAACTTCAATTTTGCCCATAGCATATATATATATGTCTCTTCAGAGAGAAAAACCACATAGAACAATAGCTAATATATGTTTCTCTGTCACAGTTAGTAGGGAAAAGCTGAACGATAAAATATTCTATCGTTGCATTTTTGTCTACTTACAATAATCACATCTCTTGTTTTTTTTAAATTTATTTTGACTAAACGTTACGATATAAACAGGTATAGAGAATGGATAAATTTATTTCAGAATAAAACTACCTTGTTGAATGTTCGATAATTAGAAAACCATTGAGATGTAAATACTTGATATGCACTTGTTTGAATATTCATTTATTACAATATTTCAGAAGCAATTACAACAGTCGAATTTCACAATAGTTATTTTATCTTATATATAACTAGAAAATTAAGACAATAACAAGATAAGATTTTAGAAATTCTATAAACTGTTTAAGAAACACAAAATATTGGGTTTCTTTAATTCTATGTATATATATTGAACAATTATTTTCTTAATTAGATTTTTTATGTGTCATTCGAAAGTTTTTTTCTTATAAAATGACCAAAGCAAAGAGGAATGTCAGAATTTAGTCTAATGCATGTGCTTGTCAATGGGCTTCTGGTAATCACCATGAGAAATTTAAGATAAATATTTTTGATAGACAAGAATTTTCTAGTAAAGAAAATATAGAAAAAGTTAAGCTATTGTCTATTGAGAATACTGAGAAAATATCCGTTTCCGATAATGCAGAAAATAATCTATCTCAAAATTTAAAATTTAAAAACTAACTCTTGCAAATCATCGATGAATATTTAAATATATTAGAACCTACAGGAATACGAAAATTATATCGAAGATTCATACAATTGAAAATAGAAGAAATAATCTCATGGAAAAACAGCGAGAAAAATTTAGAAATTCATTTTTATAGCAGATATTATATTTGAAATTCTTGAAGATATATTACAACATACGATAATTTTGAACCTGTTGGAGAAAGATATTACAGTTACTTAACCCTTTACGACCGGCTCCTAGAAGCAGTGAAGCAAAAAATTC